CTGCAGGCGGTCCCAGTGTTTCGTCAGTTCGAATCCTGGGCGTGGTCATGGCACTGCTCATCAAACCACGCTGAAGGCAGTCTCCCCACATGCCTCATCTAGAAGGACCCTCAGCGAGGAATATACACCTATTTCCCGGGGGGCTTTGGGGAGAAAAAGGAAAAAATAAAATCTTTAAAAAAAAGGGTGGGTGGGGGGGTGGGTGGGGGGTGTGTGGGTGGAGGGCAGAGTGGGAGGGCAGGACGAGGCCTCACTGCCCCGGCCAGGCCTCCTAGGTGCTCCCTGACTGTCTTTGCTTCAGAACTTGGTGCTCTGGATGACAAAGTTGATAGAAGGACCTCTTTATGTCCCCCTTTGCTCACGAATAGGTGGGTCCTTGGGGGACAAACATCAGTGTGTGGGTCAGTCTGGTCCCAGCAGCCTCAGAAGGGTTTACCTGGAGAGAAGTTAATGAAGGGGGCTATTTATGGACTAGGTACAGAGATGTAGAGGGAGCCAGCAAGGTGGGGAAGAGGCCCAGGGACTCGGGGAACCAGTACCAGCCCTGCCTAGAGGGGCAAAGGGAGGAGCTGTCCCCAGAAGAGGGCTCAGCTAGGAGGGCATGGGGCAGGGGCAGGGCCGGTGAGTGGCTGTCCTCTCCCTCCTGCCTCCCTCCACTGCTGCCTCTGCAGAGGGAGGAGGCAGTCACGTCGCCCTTACGCCCTGGTGCCGAGCCCGCCCTTACGCCCTTACGTGCTGAGAGCTGCCAGCCTTTGTAAAGCCGCGGTGCCGAGCCCGTGGGCCTGTGACTGACACCCCTTAAGTTCACTGCTCTCGCCGTCTTTGTCGCCCCCACCCATGGGCTGGAGTGAAAGGGCATCCAAATCTGAGGACAAAGTAAATAAATAGTCAGTCATCAAACTGTTCGGGTAATACAGACAAAGCTGAAGACCCCATTCACTGCCAGACTCGCGTCTGGTTCTCGGCTCAGGACTAACGACTGGTTGGTTGTGTAAGAGTAAACTTACAGACCTTTCTCTTTTTCACCTATGCGTGCACACGTGCTGGGGTGTGGGGCTTTAGACATGTGTAGAGTGTGTGTGTGTGTGTGTGTGTATTTTCCCCCGTGTGCCTTCTGCATCCAGTAAGTGCTCAGGCTTTGCCCATTGGTGCCCGTGGCTCTGTCCTCTGCTCCTTGCACACACGCAGCTCCTGCCCCGGGGCCTCTGTCCCTGCCAGTTCTCCTGCTGGAGTGCCCTCCCCAAGGGGCCTCCACCCACTCACTATGCCTTGGCTCCACTTCCAGGCCATCCACCTGCCCTGGTGGTCACGTGGCTTCGGCCAGTGGGTCCCGGAGTGCCGGGTGAAGGTGGGCACATGCTCCACCTCACTGCCTTCACCCCGTTGTTCTCCCGTGTCCGAGCATCCCCCGCCCCGCCCCGCTCCCCGGTCCAGTATTGCTAGACTTTAAAATCGGCCCATCTGGTGGGGGAAGATGGTAGTCACTGTCATCATTTTCTTTCCCTTGGTTTCTAGGGAAGTTGAGCAGCTCTCACTGCATTTTTTGGCCATTGATTCCTCTTTGTTTTGTTTGTCCGTTTTAATTCTTACGTAATTAGTTTTAGGAATGGTGGGGGGTGGGGGAGGGATCCCCCTTTCTCCCAGAAGGACGGCTGGTTAGTTGAAGCGTGCTCTCACATTCCCGCCTCCCGGTGAGGCCCCCTCCCGTGTCCGTCTGTCTTTTTGCACTCTGTTTTAGCTTCTCTTTCATAGTTTGCTTCATCGTCCAATAGGCCAGCTCTGTTGTTGCTTGTCCTTTTCCAAACACGTTGTGGCTGTTCCCACGCCTTTAGTCTTTTTAAAAAAAATGACGATTTGGGATTAGCTTCACAGGCTCAGTTAGGTATCCTGTTGAGGTTTGATTGAGGCTGCTCAGGTTTGTGGGCTGACTGGGGAGAGCTGTGTGTCCTCGGGGTGCCCCTGCTCGTCCCCGCCCCTCCCTCCCTGCGCGTTGAGCCGCCAGTGGGGGTTGCATGAGGTCTCAGTCGTCCCTTTCTTGTTCTGACTTTATGATTGTGTGCGCCCAATGTTTTACCATGAAATGGGATCTTTGTTACAGGCTTCTGTAGGTAATCTCTGTCAAATTGAGGAAGTTCCTTCTCTTCATGGTTTCATTGTATTTTTTATCATGTGTGGACAGTGAATTCTATCAGATTCTTTTCATCACTTCTTGTGGTAACTGTGGCCTTTCCCTTTTAAGCAGCCACCGCAATGCAGCACGTGGCAGGGGTCCTCATGTCGAACCATCCTTGCTTGCCTGGTCATACACCCTAGTTGGGCACCCAGTGTTATTTACGTAAAACGCTTCTGCCTCTGATTTGCGTAGGCGTTTACACCTGTCTTCACAGCACACAGGCCTCTGCTCTGCTCTCCTTGGCCCTGGTGCAGTGTTGATGGGTCTGTAGCCTTGGGAGCAGCCCCCCAACCCATTCATTCACCCATCCGAGTTACCCCGCTTCCCCCTCATCCCAGGCCTCCCAGAGAACTTGGGCTCTCAGGGAAGAGGCACCTGGTTTGACAAGGTGCCCAGAAAATTGTGTACCATCTTCCTGGCAGGTTGGAAAGCACTGAATTGTCCCCTTATACATCCTAATAATCCCAGGGCCATTGAAGGTTCAGTGCAGGAGGACCTGGAGGAAGGATACCCTTCATCCCCTGGAGCTCAGCTCTTTGGGGCGAGGGGAGCAGCCCTCAGTAGACAGGACCCTCCTGGCCTCTGCTGGCCAGGGACCGTGGGTGGCGTGGGGTGTGTCCTGACGGGCTCCACCAGGGTGGGCTTTTCAGAGCTTACTTTGGGCAGCCGAGGGCTGCAGGAAGGGGCAGTGTGGCCCCAGGACTGTGAGCTTGGACAGGGGCTGGCTCTGCTGGCTTTGGGAAGCCTCTGGAGGGGATGGTGCAGAATTGGTCTGGCGTGGGCCACTGGCTGGTGCTTCTCTGGTGGCGTCATTTGGCCTCTGTGAGGGCTGGGCTGTGAGTCCTCCTGGCCATTTGGTAGAAAGGCGGCTTTTAGTTACCTTTTTAGATGAGATTCAGAGTCTGTACCCCCATGATTCACAGCCCAATAGACCTCGCACAATTCCGGGTAAGATGGGCGTCTCAAGCCCAGGTCTGATGTCCCAAATCTGTCACAGCCTTGTCTCCAAGCTTTTTTAGCAGCAGAGCCTTTTTTTAAGGTAAAAGGAATCTAATGCAGAACAAATTAACAAATCACTTAGCACGGGTTCAATGAGTCTTTGGTTTAAAACGTCCTCTGGCCATTCCCGGGATCTGCCTTGGCCTTGCCTGTGGGGTTGCCTTTGATGGTGTTGGCGCCACTGGCCTTGCCTGCTGACACCCTGGGGGAGGGAGGGCCTTCGTCCTAGATCTGCTCATGAACCGGTGAGCTGGCGTTTTCTACAAGCCACACTGTGGAAATGGCACGTTAGAGTATGTGTTTCATTAGCAGTTTGAAGTAAATAATTTTTTTAGTGAAAATGAAATCCCAAGACCGTGCCCGTGTCCAGGCTCTGCCCAAACCCTTTCCAGTTCTTCTGTGCCCGCTCTGCCTAGCTGCCCTGGTTGCCCTCCCCACCCTCCCCTGCCATGGGTCTGCCGCCGTCGCTGCCTGTCCCCTCCTCACAGGCTGGCCCCCTGTGCGGGAGCCTCCTCTGAGACCCCGAGGCTCCTGTCCCCTGTCGCTGTGGACCGGCCTCTTGCTGATTTCCGTGTTCGGGATCTGGCCTCGCACCCACTGCCCTGTCAGCTCCTCCCCCTGGGGGACCATGTCCCCTCCTGTGTGCAGTGCATCCCCAGGAGGCCTGGGAAACAGGAGCGTGGTCCTCCCGCCGAGTGACTCCCCGTTTCGGTCAGGGCCTGCTCTGTGCCTGCGCGCTCCCCTCCCACCTCCCACCCTGTGTACCCAGGCCACCCTGCCCCCGTCCCTTTGTGGGAGACAGATTCCTCTGTCCTGCAGCTCCAGTCTCATCAGTCCTGTCATACAAAGTGCACCTCTGTGGTTGAGGGGAAAGATAGCTCTGACCTGCCCGCCCCCAGGTTTCCAGGCCAGGGTGTGGGTGCTGGCAGGTAAGGAAGAGCAGGCCTGCGCCGCCCAGAAGGAAGCTCGAGGGCTCGGCGTCGGGAGCCTTGTGGCTGGCACCCTCGCAGCTGACCTCCTGCTTGCCTCCAGGGGCCCTGCACGCGCTGTCACTTGGTCTTCACTTCTTTCGCCCACCGCTTGTCCTCCTTCCTCAGAAATCGAGGCCCTAAAGCTGGCGGAGCAGGAGCGCAGGGCGCAGCAGCGGCGGAAGGCCACGGTGGTGGTGGGGGACCTGCAGCCCCTGAGGGACGCCCTCCCCGAGCTGCTGGAGTTGGAGGCTGGCGGCCGGCGGCAGCACACCAGAGGGTGAGTGTCCATCTCAGCTGCCTTGAGACGGCAGGCTGCGACATTCATGGCGGGGCTGGCTCTTCTGGAGCTGCTGCCCCCGCCACGTGTCCAGAGCGGGAGGAGAAACAGCAGAGCAGGGGGGTGGGCAGGGCTGCCGGACGCTGCAGAGGAGGGACGGCGAGCCCCGCAGCCCTTCTGGACGTGAACCCCATGCTCGTGGCCCGAGCCTCACGGGCAGCAGGTGGTGTCTTCCTCAAGGGAGGCAGGGGAGCCCTGGCCTGCACTGGTGAAGGGCCTGGCTGGCATGTTGATGGGGCGCCTGTAGGCCCTCTGCCTTTGGGTTCTGGGGCGGCTCAGCCCGGAGGGCCCTGCTGCGTGGCTGGTCCTTCCAGCGCCTGGCTGGGCTCCGTTCTCCCCATCCCCTGCTGTCTGCCCCTCAGGGACGCGCCTGCTGTATGACTCTGCCTTCCGGGCCTCTCTCCCAGAACCAGAATGTTCTTCTAGGCTGTCTGCCTCGCCCCTCTGCTTTTCCCAGGTGGTTGTTCCCATAAGAGGAAGGCGCCACGGCCTGGCCTCACAGGGAGCGCCTGGTGCAGGTGCGTGCCGGAGGTGTTCCCGTCTGCTCCGCGGGGGCTTGGGGCTGTGGACAGCGGCCGCAGCTTTAGAACAAACGGGAAGGAGTCGGAGGGGCCTTCCGTTCTCTCACAGTTGGCAGAACTTCCTCATTTACTGTATCGTCTTTCATTTTGCCTTTTTAAAATGATTTCTCTCACTGAATTTCCCTCTGAGGAGAAAGGATCTGGGGCTCCCACCCTTTCACAGGCTGGGGGCGTGGCAGGCCACATACTCAGGGATACTCGGCAGCAGAGCCAGATGGTCCTAGGCCGGCTCCCCGGGATGGTAGCACCCGGAACATTCGGTCCAGACGAGGAGTGGCCACTGGAGTTGAGATTTGGCGATGGGGCCAGAGCCCCAGATGCAGATTCCATTCCTGGTTCTTGAACAAAAATGTGACCCGGTCAAGTCTCCTTTCCCAGCTTTCAGTTTTCTCATCTGAAAAATGTGCTCGGGGCTCCCAGAGGGGAGAGAGCCGCGTAAACAGCCCGGTCAGCCGCCCGAGGAGGAATGTGTGCGCGGCCGCCGAGCTGCCCATGCTGCTGGGCCGCACTTGCTGTGGAGGCCGTTTCGGAGTCTGGGTGTCGGAAGGGTCCCAGCTGGCCTCACGTGTGCCTGAGCCTCCACTCGGCCCGGGGTCAGTGAACCCCTCACGTGCATCTTGACTCTGGGGAGCTGTTGGCGTAAACACTGTTTTAGAACAGGTTAGTTTACACAAGGATGGCAGAAGTGATAACGTGTCCCCATGTGCCTCAGACTCAGTTTCCCTGTTCATGTCGTCTCATGTCAGCTTCACGCCTTCATCACACTTAGGGAACCAGTACTGATACGTAAATGGTAAGTTTAAGATAACGATTAATTAAAGCCCATGCTTTATTCAGATTGCCTCGGTTTTTCCTAATGTCCTTTTCTGTCGGGGACTCCATGCAGGACTTTACATGACATTCAGTCATCACGTCCCCTCCGCTCGCCCCTGGGCTGTGACAGTGTCTCAGACTTTTCTTGCTTTTGATGACTGTGACAGTTTTGGGAGCACTAGTCAGGCATTTTTGGGGTGCCCCTCAGTTAGGATTTGTATGATGGTTTCTCCTGGTGGGACTGGGGTCGTGGGTGGTGGGAGGAAGACCACAGAGGTGAGGTGCCCTCTCACCACCTCACACCCAGGGGGCGTGCCGTCCACGTGGCCTGTCACCGTGGGTGTGGGCGTGACCCTTGGCGGAGGGGCATCTGTCAGGTGTCTCCACTCGACATCCCTCCGTCCCCCCACTGTCCTCTGTGGGAGGAGGCGCCCGCACAGCCCACCCCTAGAGAGAGCGCAGGCGGGCTCCCTCCCTGAGGACGGAGGAGCCACGTAAGCCATCTGCACCCTCCTCAGAGATGGACTCTTCCCCCGTTTACTCACCAGTCATTACGTCAGCCAGACTCCTGGACATTCTCTCACCCTTAGGGCCATAACCCAGCACGACGTTACTCTGGTGCTGAAACTGCTCCGGCTCCGGCCCCTGGGACCTCTCGGGGCCGCTCTTGGGTCCCTCTGATGCACCCCACCCATGGGGTGTGGTTTGAGCACCTCCTTCCTTCCTGGCACAACCAGGTGCTCAGGCTCAGCTCGGCTCATCCTCACCATCCAGGCTCATTGTGGGCATTTCCTGGCGGGGTCCTGGAATCAGTGTTGCTCCAGGAGCCTGGGCTCCTGGCCTTGGAGAGTGGTGTAAGCGGCCAAGATCTGGGTGCTGGTGAGCCGACTTCCACTGGGCAGTTGTCATTCCTGGGCCGTCTCGGCTGACGGAGCAGGAAGTGCCTGTGTGTGTCCTGACCCAGGGTGTCCCTGTCAAGTTAGGGAACAGTTTATAAATATAGACCATCCTCATTTCCAACACAGGCTGCAAGTCCAGGGGACCGCAAGACCACGCTTAGGTTCCAAATCTCCAGGACACGGAACTCAGAAAGCTGTTGCACCCACAGTTGCAGTTTATCGTGGCTAAAGGATACAGAGGAAAATCAGCCAAGGGGGAGACCACGGGGCGGGCTGGCGGAGTCCCACAGGCCACGCTTCCAGCTGTCCTCTCCCCATGGAGTCAGGACAGCAGTGTTACCCAGCATCAGTGTGTGACAGTGTGTAAGGAGTGTTGCCAACCGGGGGCGCTCACCAAGCTCTGTCCCCCAGGTGGGCAGGCGGGCAGGGCCAGTCTCGGGCTCTGTCACCCGGGAGACAGGTGGGCAGGGCTGGTCTCGAGCTCTGTCGCCGGGGGAACATGCGAGCAGGGCCGGCCTCGGGCTCTGTCGCCCGGGAGACATGCGGGCAGGGCTGCTCTCGAGCTCTCTTGCCAGGGGCACATGCGAGCAGGGCTGGCCTCGGGCTCTGTCACCAGGTTAGATGGGTGGGCAGGGCTGGCCTCGGGCTCTATCACCAGAGGGGACAGGTGGGCAGGGCTGGCCTTGGGCTCTATCACCAGAGGGGACAGGTGGGCAGGGCTGGCAAACTTTGCCTTTGTTACCTTCACAGGCTTTGCTTTGTGGCCCTGGGCATCCAGACCCTGAGTGCAAGGCCTGGGTCCCCAGTCACCCTCTGGGACACCTTGACCAAGGTCCTGGGCTCCTCCAAGTGTGTCCGAGATCCATGATGTGGCCTTGCAGGGTCCTGGTAGGATAGCCTGAGGCTCTGAGCCAACAGAACAGGTCCTCAGATGGCATTCCCCAAGCTCCATCTGGGTGAGCACCAAACAGCGCACACTGGGCACTGAGGCTGACTAGAGCCAGCGTGTCCACGGTGACACTGCCAGCGGGCCCCTAGAGGCCTCAGGCCATCTGCCTGTTTGCCCTCTTAGAGACGGTGTGGAGCGCCAGGGCCTGGGGTCCCCCGACCAGTCAGACTGCACTAAACCCAGATCTCCTGACCTCCGCACGCAGCGCTTCCTGGGAGTGCCGGCTGGAGGAAGGGGGCCCCTGTGCCAACCAGTTGTGTGAGGGCAGGGTCCCCGGAGAGCTCTTGGGGGGACCCAGGGAGAGGGGTCGAGCAGAGCCGCAGCGTCCTGGGGCTGAGGCTGACCCCAAAGGGGTCCTGGCCGGCTTGGAGCGCGCTCCCAGGTCGGCCCCAAGCCAGGTGAAAGGAGAGTGGGCAGCACTGTTGGGTGGATGAGAAACGTCTCATTCGTACTCTATGAAACAACGTGAACAGAAGACGAGGGCTCCTGGTCGAGAGGCCAAGTTCAGGCATCGACCCAGGGTGTGGTGGTTTTCTCGCCCCTCCCGCCTCCACTGGGTCCCTCTCCCACCTCATGGCCCCTGTGTCTCGGGTGGCAGCTCCAGAGCTGGCGAGCTGTGCTGGGTCACGCTGGCTGCCGTGAGGCCGCACGTGCTCCCAGTGCCGCTCACGAGAGGAGTGCACGTCCCGGCAATCCGACAGCCGTCCTGTGGACCCTGACCTCAGAGACGGGCTCGGCAAGAGGTTCCAGCTGGACTGTGGCTGTGCTGACTGGGCTTCTCTGTGTCCACACAGGGCAGGCAGCAGGCCCCGACCGGCTGAGCTGAGCCGGATGAGCGCCGCGCAGAGGCTCCAGCTCCTGTGAGTAGGGCCCCACCGCCCAGATGAGGCTCTGGTGTCCTTCCCCCACCTGCCCCACCCCAGTCCACTTGGCGCTGTCAGCAGCTCAGCCAGGGCCAGCTCCGGAGCACAGCCTCGTGGGCGTAAAGCAGCCTGTGTCCAGCGGGCCGGGAAGCCCCTTCCCTGGGCGGTGAGGGGAGTAGAAGCTACCAGAACCAGAGCAGCCAGCGGCTCTCAGGATCGCCCTCAGGGCCTGGTCCTTGTGAGGGCGGGTGGGGCCCCCTGCCATCCAAGGCACCTTGGCTGTGTGGATCCCTGGCTGGGCTGTACGTCATCCGGTGGGCTCAGAATCTCCCTGCTGGCTGCCGAGGAAGCCGGGGCCTGGTGCAGTTTGGCTCTGCCCTCGGTCACACGCACACAGGGGCAGAGAAGGGGCTCAGCCCCGTCCCCACTACAGCACCGGGCGGGCTGCTTGGGCTTGTCCTGGAGCTGCCGCCCTGAGGTTTCCGTCTGGGTCACCTTAGTTTTAGCAGCAGAGATGTCGTCCCTCAGGGCCACCCAGCCCCGGCTGGTCGCTGTGGCCAGGCTGTAGGGCCCACAGAGTGCAAGCTGGCCCCAGCACTTCCAGAAGGCGCATGCCATGCCTGCTCCAGATGGAGGCTGGCTGGCTTTAGAGACAGGCATGGAGTGTGACAGCTGCCCTGGACTTGGGGGGCTCAGAGCTTCCTGCAGGAGCACAGGATCCCTGGAGGCCTTCTCGTGCCTGTGGGGAGGCAGCAGCTGCCACCTCTGTCCCCATGGCACCCCTTTGTGAGCTTGGCCGGCCTCGGGGCCTTGGGCCCACGCAGTACCCCGCTCCCACCCCCTCTGTTCCTGCCGGGCTGCGTCTGTTTTGGCAGTGCTGGAAGGGGGCCTCTTATGTAAGGCCACGTGTCTGCAGGGCCTGTGCGGGTCGCTGCCTCCCCGCGTCTGTCGCCCTCCTGCTTTTAATAGCAGCTCCCTGTCAAGGTTGGTGAGGGGGCCCAGAGCTCCCTCCCTGGGGGAGGGGCAGTCCTGTCAGCCCCCCGTCCCTCCCTCCACAGACGGTGCAGTGGCTCCGGGGCCCACGTGTGACCATGCAGAAGTCCCAGGGCAGCCACTTCCCTCCTGCCCAAAGCTCCCGCTCGGCTCTCGAACCTCCCTCGGCCTGACCCAGCAGAGCTGCGCCCCTTCTGCTGCGTGAGAAGCCCCGGGCGGAGTTCACAGCCCTGGCCGCCTTCCTCACTCCCCCGCTGTCCCCTCCTTGGACCAGCCTTCATGAGTGTCCATGCAGGGCGCCCCCCTACCCCTCCCTGTGGTGACCCTTAGGCCTCAGGTGCTCTGTCCCATGAGAACCCCTGTCCTGTTGTGTCCACTCCAGTGTCCAGCCTGCCCTGAGGTGTAGGTCCTGGGGATGCTGCCTGCTCACCCCCGGCCCCGCTGAGGAGTGTGGGCTGTGCTGACCTCTGATCTGCATTCTTTCAGCGAGGAAGAAAGGATCCGGTTTCAGGAGCTGCTGGCCAGTCCGGCCTATAGAGCCAGCCCCCTGCTGGCCATCGGGCAACAGCTGGCCCAGCAGATGCAGCTGGACAGTGGCGCCCAGCTCTGACTCTGCCCAGGGGGCCTGCCTTGAGCTCCGAGGATGCACACAAGGTGCCCAGAGAGGGCTGACTGCTCGCCATCGTCGCTCTGAGCGTGGTGCACAGCTGCCCCCGGCCCTGGCTCTTTTTCAGTTGTTAGGAGATGGGTGGGGGCAGAGCCCCCATGAGGATGAATAAACGCTGTATGAACTCAGGCAGTGGGATGTGCACTTCCTTCTGTGCCCCCGGCTGTTCCCGTGGGCTCCTTTCTGAACTGCTCCCAAGCTTCTCAGGGCTGGCAACCAGGGACAGCTGTCCATGCTCCCCTTGGCACAACCCACCTTCGACCAGGTATGAGGGCCCCAAGCCCCTCTGTGGACCCAAGGTGGCCATCATGTGGCCTTCCGTGGGGGTTGCTGCGCCCGTGAGCAAGGGCGCAGGTGGAGGCACGAGGCCTGCTCTTCTCATCTCGTGGTACCCTTCTGCTGCGGCTCTGTTGCCTCCCAGCCTCCAGCCCTCATGCCTGTGGGGAGCGGGCCGTCCTGCAGCCAGGATCCTTGGAGCAGGTGGGCTCGGCCCTGGACCACGCGGCTGACCCAACCGGGAGCAAGACAGTTAGTTGCCCGGGGTGTGGCGTTGGACAGCAGAAACACTGACTAAGCCCTCAATTTGAGGATGTGGAAAGGTGGAGGTGCTTTGCCCAGCCCCCGAGGCCCAGCCGGGCTCTTCCCCTGGGAGCGGGAGTGAGCAGACTCGCCGCCCACATCCCGCAGGGGCAACCTGCAGCCCGGAGGCCAGGGCTCCCCGAGCAGCAGCTCAGCCCAGCAAGGGCTCCACTCAGGCTGACCACACCGTCCTTCTCAGGGGTGGTGCCTGAACCTCCAGCACCCTCCACAGGCTCTGTGATGTAGGGGGCTCCTCAGCGGTGCATCCAGGTGCTGGGTAGTCGCTTTGGGCCTCCTGGCTGAACTGGTGTGGACCCTCCACCACTGGCGGCATGGCTGCGTGCTCGTGATTCCTGGACCTCTCATGGGACTCGAAGCCCGCAGCAGTGTCCACTGAGGCCATCCAGGAGTGAGGGGCTGAGCAGAATCACAACTAAGGCCCCCTGCCCCCTCGGGTGCCTGGTGCCCCTTCCGTGGACAAGAACAGACAGCGTCTGCTCACAGTGTGGACAGAAAGGGACAAATAGGACCATGGGGCCGCGGGTGGGAACCCGGCTGCCCTCAACCAGAGGCCAGCACTGTGGTCCAGCCCTAAGTGATGTCAGCTGGTGCCCTTGGCACAGATGGGTTCTCTGTGAGAGGAGCAGTTACAAAGTAGTAGTCATGACAGACACATTTTTGCAATAAAATGAGTGTTGGAACAAGTGGTGGGATGGACGTGGAGCAGGGTGCTGGCCACCGGGGAGGCCGCAGCGCCTCGGCCTTTCCTCCTCGGCTTTGTGTCATCTAGGGCGGTCGGTGGCGACTGCATGTTAGGATGTGCTCTTTCAGAGGAGAGCCTGGCTTGCTGGTCCTGCGGTGGCTCCAGTCTGCCTGCAGTGGGCGTCTGCTCATGGCTTCCTCCATCAGGCCTCTGACTTCTGCCTGGAAGCTGGGCCTCCCCCACAGCCTGCCTGGGAGCACAGACACGATCTGCAATGGCCGCACAGCGTGCCATAGAGGACGGGGCTGCAGGAAAGGTGGGAGGCAGGGCAGGCTGGGCCTCAGCACAGGAGGTGAGGTGTGGGCCCTGTGCCATCCACTGTGATGGACCTCAGAGCTCGGCCAAGAAAGTGAGCTGAGAAGCCACCAGCGTGTTTGGGGATGTCACTCACAGAGCAGAGAGCCTGGACCACGGCGACGGCTGCTGCCAGGCCAGCTGTGGTTATGCAGGTGCAGGGGACCCTGGAGGACAGGGCGTCGCAGGCGCAGAGCCCGTCCGGGAGGTGCTCCCAGTTACTGAGGGTGTCCTGGAAGGCACCACCTCCTCTGGGTGTGGCCAGCGTGGGAGAGGCAAGGGATCGGAGGAGCTTCCCTGCTTTTGCTTAAGTGTGTTTTCTAATCTTTGTAGAATGAGCATGGATTCTTTGGTAGTAAGTCTAAGTGATGAAGTTAAACGGTCAGTGGTTTTCACGACTTTAAACCCTGGACCCCTCGGTCTGCTTCCCTGCTCAGAAGGGTCAGCAGGAGGTCCGCCTCCTTGCAGTGCGTGGGTCCCAGTGCTCTGGTGCCACCCTGCAGGGTCCTTTGGGGCAGGAGCTGTAGCTGTGGTCGGGGACAGCGCCCCCACTCAGGTGCACCCCACCCAGGTGCACTGTGGGCCCCCAGCAGGGCCAGGCCAGGGTCCCACTTCTTGTGTCCGTCATGCCTGCAGACTTCACCGCCTGCAGCACCAGGCCCTGTCGGGAGGAGCGAGTTGGCCTGGGCGGTGGGGGACGTCCAGCTGAAGGAGCGAGGGGCTCCGCACCCTGGGCATGGCACGGGTGGCCGACTACAGGCCCTGCATCCATGGGCTCCAGGGTCCCCCCACCCAGCCCGACTCCTCCTCATCCCTGAGCAGGCCTGGGCCTGCCTGCTCTGCCCTCAGGCTCTCCTCGAGGAAACCCTTACTTCCCCCAGCGCCCCTGTCAAACGTCCTCAACACCCCCCCTCTTGCTCCAGCAAACCACTCGGCTCTACCTTCCCCAGAACACCCCTCTCCCACCTGCCCCCCTGGGCCCCTGTCCCAGTCTCCTGGGAGCCGTGTGTGTCAGTTACCAGCTGCCGTAATATTGCTGCATGACAAACGTCCCCAAACTCATGTCACTGTGCCCTGTTTCCCACAAGTCTGTGCCAGGCTGGACTCGTCTTGCCTGGCTCACCCACTGAATTAAGTTTCCTGGGGTAACACATTGCCACACGCTGGGTGGCTGAAAACAAGAAAAACGTGTTCTTGCGGGCTGGAAGTCTAACAGTAAAGTGTTGGGGCCGTAACCCTCCAGGGCTCCCCAGGAGAAAGCTTTGCCTCTTCTGGCCGCTGGTGATGCTGGCAGCCCTGTGTCCCTTGTGTCCCTTGCTGTGCGGCTGCATCACTCCCATCCCTGCCTCGGTCATCACATGAAGACTCGTCACCGGATTGGGGACCACCCTCCTCCAGGATGGTCTTGTCTTAACTAATTCCATCTGCAAAGACCCCACTTCCAAACACGGTCACTTCTGCGGTTCCAGGGGGACGAGAATCTTTGGAGATGTACTTGGTCTGGGGAGCGGCCCAGGACTTTTAGAAGCTCCCAGGTGAGTAGAAGGTGTGCGTTCAGAGTCAACCGCTGTGGGGCAGTGGGGCGGGGAGGAGAGAGCCCCAGTGCCGTGGAAGAGGAGAAGTGTGTCTACACAGCAAATAGGGGGTGTCTGGAGGCTGTGAGGGGTGGGCCGTTGACAGCTGCAGGAGGGGCCAGAAGGCGAGGCACTGCTGTCACGTAAGCTGGAGGGGCATGCTGGGGCTGGAACTGGCTGGCAGGCGGGGCTCCTTCAGGATGCAGAGAGCTGGAGCATCCCTCCCTCCCACGAGCCTTTCCCCGCTGTCCCCAGACCTCGGGTCCCCTCCCTAGGCTCTTGCACACCTGCTGCGCCCTCTGTGTCTCTCTCCGGCATGTCGCCGTGCCGCCTGTGCTCTTGTCCCTTTCCCGGTGAGGAGAAAAGCCCCCGAGGGCGGGGTTTGCCATGTACTGCTGTGCAGGTGGCACCCAAACTACACCATCCCGTGGGGGGAATGAGTGATGGAATGAATGAATGAATGAATGAGAGGCAGGAAACAACGGGGCCTGGACAGGCCCGGACGACAGGGCCCAGGGGCCTCATGTCCACACACTGTGTCCAGGGTAGAGAAGGTCGCCCTGGTGCCTGACTCAGAAAGGCCCCCATCACATCCCACTCCTCATCTTGCACCGGCCCTCCTCTCCCCACCGTCTCCATGGAGGGGTGGGCTCCGGGCCCCCAGACACCGCAGGAGACGAGCGCCGTCCTGGTGCTGGATGTGCCGTGAGAGCCGAGAGCCCCCGGGCCGCCTGTGGGGCTGGCTGTGTTTGGGGTACACCTTCTGGTGTCGGGATATTTGGACTGAGGCCTGTGTCCCGTCTGCGCAGTCTTGTCTAGACAGGCCTGTGTTGGGTTCGCCTGTCACCATCTGCTGGCACTTGACCCAGGCCCTGAGGCCCCCATGCCCGCCTTCAGAGGGACTCAGAGCCTGTTTGTGCTCTGAGCACTGGGTGTCCCTGGATTTGTCCTGGACATGGGGGTGGAGGGGATCAGTGGCCGTGTAGCATCAGCCAGGGCAGCAAGTGAGGCCCACAGCCAGGCCTGTCAGGGTTCTCTGCCACTTGGAGCCAGGGGCTGTGCAGTCAGCAGGCGTGCTGCTTCTGGAACATTCCTCATGTAGCCATATGCTGGCGGTGGCAGCCTGGGCTGACGCCTTTGTGCTGAGATGTTGGGGCCCAGCCCCTGCACGCCTTTTGTGGGTTCTCAGCCGCCGCCCTGTGACCGGGCTTCCAGGGTGTCGGGAGAGCCGGCTGGCTGGCGGAGACAGCGGGACGCCGGCCTTCCGGGCCTTTCTCTGATGTCGCGCTCCTGGGGCAGCGGGTCCCCGGCTCCTGGACCTGAGACCCGCGAGTCTGCCTGGAGAACGACCTTGTTTTAAAGTCAAAGAGACTCAACTAAACAGAGACTCAACAGCATTTTTCTTCTAAAGATGTTCAGGTTAATGTAGGTTAAAACGATAATTACAGGCATATTCCTGATGTTGGCTTGTGTTTCTTACGTCTTCCTTAAGATTGAGAAATCTTAATTGTAAGATTCTGGGTCGAAAGTCAGTGATTATTTGTAGTTGTGAATCCAGATGTTTCTTCTGGGGCCACAGTGGCACTGGGGCCGTGCAGTCCCC